CGAACAATAACCTCCGTGCATTACTCGCACGTCAATTAATATTATCGGGGCCGGTGCGCGCATCTCTCTGAGCGTAGGCATACGACGACGATCCGTGTGTCCGTGCGACCTGCGATCCGGTGCGTGCGCCGCGTGCGACACCGGCACGACGAGGAAGCGCGCGTGTGCGATCTGATAGCGCGCGTATCTGCGCGTTTATCTGCTACGTTAGAGACGCGTACAATGCCGTGGCCGTCGGCTCGGCATCGATAGCACGGAAAAATAGTGTATCACCGACGAGTCACAACGACACCGCGCCGTCCGTCCGGCCGTCCGTTAGGGCCAGCGGTCGTTATTAATCGCGGCGGGATGATGCGACGCTGCATCTGCATGTTTTAATAGACTCATGCTCGACGCACATCCGCGAATCCGCTGGATGATGCGCGCGACCAGACGCGCGCCGATCGTCCCGACGAGATCCAGCAATAATAATGAGCGCCTCTCGGTAAATTCCACGGGGAATAATTCAGCTGACGTATACGTCGCCGTCGCGCACGTCCGAGAGAATTGCTTGATATTCGGCGCTATAATCGCGTAGAGTGAAACAATTACAGTTCGGGAGAAGCATTTCTCGCACATCGAGAACAAATTGTTTCGCATCTGCGATTATAATCGCATTGAATGATAATCAAAAGGGTCATTTTCTGTACACCGAAATTCGAGACTATAATTGTATAGTTTAATATTTATTGCTCGGAAGGGAAATCATTTCTCGTATATCAGAAAAAATTTGTTTAACTTTGTGACTACAGTCATGTAGTAAAATAATAATAATAATAATAGTCGGAAAAATTATTTTTCTTGCATAAAAAGAAATATGTTTTATATTTGTGATAATAATCACATCGAATAATAATCTTATTGTATAATAATCATAGTCAGGAAAATCATTTTTCATTATTTATACCAAAAAAAATTGTTCGATATTCGTGATTATATAGTGAATTATAGTCGAGAAAATCATTTTTCATGCATTGCAAGAAATTGTTTCGTAATTGCAATTATAAGTACATTGAATGATAATCATAGCCAGGAAAATCATTTTCCGCACATCAATAAAAGATTGTTTAGCATTCGTGATCATAATTACATGATAAAACAATGATAAATCATCAGGGAAATCATTTTTCACATATTAAAAAAATAGTTTAATTTCGTAACTATAATCACGTAACAAAATAATTACATTCGAGAAAATCATTTTTCATGCATCAAAAAGAAATTGTTCCGTATTTGCGATTATAATCGCAAAGAATAATAATCATAGCCAGGAAAATCATTTTTTATACACCGAGGAGAGATTGTTTGGTATTCGTGACTATAATTATATATACACTATAATTGATGTGTTAAATTTAATATATTTCATGAATCCCAAATCATCCACTCTCATTTATATGTAAATATAACACAAAACAAATGTAACACGCATAATATGGAAAAAATTAACACAAGAATTTAATACCTGAATACCGTTAGGAATTACAGATTGTGCTAAATTGACATATTTAATATGTCACACATAGATTATGTTAAGTTAACATTTTCATTTCATCAAAACCATAGATTAATACTTCTCTCAAATGTTAAAGTAACGTTTTATTTTAGTTAATTTACCATTATACATATGTCAGTTTAACACAAACTGTGATTTCTGACGGTATTCATGTGTTAAATTCTTGTGTTAATTTGCTACATATTATGCGTGTTACTTTTTACCACATTTGTTTCGTGTCAAATTTGCACATAAATAAGAGTGGATGATTTGGTACATATAAAATGTTAAATTTGACACATCACAGTTTTTACAGTGTAGTTAAACAATTATAGTCAGGAAAATCATTTTTATATAATAATAACCTTAACACCGAAAACGATTATAATTTTAGTGAGATTAACTATGTTCTGTCTTGATGTACGCTAACCAAAGCCCGTATCGGACCAGAAATAGAATACATTAGACACCTCGAACTAGCTACGCAATGACGTCATTAATCCCCGTCTATAAAAACTCTTCTAAGCCTATAAAGCGGGTTGCACCTTAGCGCGATGGAGGTTGAGGATCGCGGATTAGAGACTAGAATTCTACGAGTCAATTGATTTCAATCTTGGCTCGCTTTGACCCGATTGGTCATGTACTAATCCTCAATCCGCAATCCTCGATCTCCAATATCTAGTCTGATACTTAGACTTTGACGCTTAGACTCGTCGCGTAGACGACGTTACGATGCCGCGGCGGCGCGCGCAGGCAATTATACAAGCGGTATGCGTCGTCGAGGCACGAGGGATCGTTTATCACCCGGACCGCGGACCCCGACAGCCTCCGAGGCGGCGTGGATCGTCTATTATTTCACTTTGCCGAGCATTAATCGAAAGAGATTCGGAGTCTGCTCAGCCAGAGAGTCGGATGTCCCTCCTCACCGATGCCCGATATCGCGACTCACCCCTCTCTTTGCTTCCCACCACACGCTTTCTCCAGGGCTGCGTTGCCAAAACTCTACTCGACGGGCAGAGTGGCATTTAATTGACCGATCAGAACGAAGATAAGTAACAAGGAACATTCGCGAAGTGTGTGTCTCCGATTTCGATGAAACTTGGCATATTTATGGAGTGGCGAAAAATGAGAGACCCATAGTCTTTTTATCGGCAATGGCGCGGGTTTAAGAGGTGAAACTACCCCTCATAGTTTTGTGTCCTTTTTACTATCTCTGCAACTACGCTGAGAGAAAAATTGTCTTAAAATCAACAAATATTTCCTTGGTGGGTGCCATTAATATATTTACTTAAATCTACATTTTCTTTACTTAAATCAAATATTGTTTATTTAAATCAAGTAAACAATATTTGATTTAAGTAAAGAGAATGTAGATTTAAGTAAATATGTTAATGGCATCCACCAAATATTTGTTGATTTTAAGATAATTTTTCTCTCAATGTATTGGAGATAGAAAAAAACTCTTTAGACATTATGCGGTTTTTTATAAAGAATAAAATGGGCTAAAAAGTTTTTTTCTATCTCCAATAGTTACAGAGATAGCAAAAAGGGCATGAAACTTTAAGGGGTAGTTTTACCCCTTAAACCTGAGCCATTGCTGATTAAAAAAAATATGGGTCTCTTATTTTTGGTCATTCTATAAATATGCTAAATTTCATCGAAATCGGAGACACGAGTTTCTACGAGTTTTATCATCGATTTATTAAAAAAAAAATCGAAAATTTTGAGTTTGTAAACCAGGCTCCCCGCTTAACCCGACTAAATGAATTTTTCAAGGAAGGGTAAGGGAAGAAATGCGCCGATTCGCGCACCATAATCCGATCAACGTGTCGAGAGGAATCGGGTTCGGGGGGCAAGGCGCAATCAATGCGCCGCACCTCGCGAATGTTCCTTGTAAGTTTTCTCTATTATGATTGGTTAATTGAATGTTTCTCTACTTGTCGAGTAGGAACTTGTCTTAGAACACAGTCCTAAGCGGGCTTCGTCTTCTTTCGCGCATTCCTCGGCGGATTCAACAGCGTCCTACTTTCGAAATTTCTTGAAAATGTCGCAGAGAATCAGTAAATCGAAGTGACAATGGAAACACTGCCACTCAAGATCACAAAAATGAATATTTAATTCAAGTCGTAGAGCGGATTTTTAATTTATACGAGTAAATATTTTGATCGATTTGAGTGAGTCTGTTCCTATAACGATGAAATACACTCCGAGATAATAGACTTTATATGTAATGCGACTAAGTTATCAGGATTTCTTGACTGTATATGCATTATTAATAAATTGTTTAAAGAGGCGGAGAAAACATCAAAGCAGTAATTTGTTACTGTGTTAGTTTCATGTTAATGTCTGAAAACACATGTGTAGAAAATATTATTAGAAAATACTACACTGAGAGAAATAAATATATAAAAAAGATATGTTAGAAATACTTAGTAGGTACTCCAATAAGCTATTTGCTTATACTAATATACATATTTTTATACTGAAACAAAATTTTTTTCAAAAGAGAAAATATTTACCTTCTAAAAAACTTTTCATAAAAAAGAACAATTTGCTTTATTTGAGAAAGAATTTGTCCTATTTTAATAAACTTAGATTTAAGTAAATATATTATTAATATCCAACTAATAAATATTTGTTATTTTTTAGATTTTCTCTTTCATTTTTTAGATTTTCTCTTTCATAAAGTAACTTACACTGTAAAAACTGATGTGTTAAATTTAACATTTAATGTGTCCCAAATCATCCACTCTTATTTATGTGTAAATTTAACACAAAACAAATGTGGCAAGAAGTAACACGCATAATATGTAAAAAATTAACACAAGAATTTAGTACTTCAATACCGTCAGAAATTATAGTTTGTGTTTAATTGATATGTATAATGTTAAATTAATTAAAATTAAACGTTACTTTAACATTTCAGAGAAATATTAATCTATGATGAAATGAAAATGTTAATTTTGATGAAATGAAAATGTTAAATTGACATAATCTATGTCTGACATATTAAATATGTCAATTTGACACAACTTGTGACTTCTAACGGTATTCAAGTGTTCAAGTGTTAAATTCTTGTGTTAATTTTTTCCATATTATGCGTGTCACTTTTTAACACATTTGTTTTGTGTTAAATTTACACATAAATGAGAGTGGATGATTTGGGACACAGGAAATGTGTTAAATTTAACACATCAATTTTTACAGTGTAATCATAAGGCAACTATGCCGATTTGTGCGCATTACTCTTCAATTTCGGGTGAAAATATTTACTCCACCGCCCAGAGCAGAGAATTCACTCTGCATGAGTGAAGAGTCAGTCGAATCGCTGTCAGTCACTCGGCTGTCTTATCGCTCTGTTTCCCCAGCGAATTTTGCTCGAATGAAGTCAAAGAACAGTGCGACGTCTGCGTCTTATCACGCGCGAGCACTATATGGTACATTCTCTGTTATTGCTGCTTTGCAGACCGAGATGGAGACGGAGCCCGAATGTGCAGATAGTAGTCTGTGCTCGAGCAACAACAATAATAACAATAGTACTGGGAACAACAATAACAACGGCGTCGCCCCCGTTGTGAAGAAGGGCGGCAACGATAGCTACGACGGGATGGAGATGGACTGCGGTGGCTGCGGGGAAAGCGTACGCGAGCGCACTGTCCTGTGCGTAGGAGGCCGTACTTGGCACTCCAGGTGCCTAAAGTGTTGCGCCTGTGCGAGGTCCTTGCACGACCAGCATTCGTGCTTCCTGCGCGGGATGCGGCTGTACTGCAGACACGATTATGCCTTGTAAGTGCGAGTACGCAAGTGGAATGTACAAGCCGGCGGCCAGTACACACTACCCGACTAGAATAATACGGACCCGATAACCAATCGAGGTCAACCTGATCGTGTGATGAGATAATCCGTGGGATAAGTTTCTGGTCGAGTGGTGTCGATTCTGGGTGTCTTAGGTGATACAAACGTAAGTACTCGAGTCTTTCGGACATTACTCGAGTATCTCTCAAATTGCCTGGGTAGTCAAATACCCAAGTGTAAGTAGTAATTTATTCTTATCATCATTTCTTCCTCACGTCATTCTCTGCATAAAGGTATCAAAGTGAGACTCACAAAAATGACATGATAAAAAATTTCAAAATATCTTTGTTATGTTTGTATTTATAAAATTTAGAGTTTCAGAATATATTTAAAAAGATATATGGAATAAAAGATTAGCGCAAGAAGTTTTTGTCATTTTTCTATTAAACCCCCGTAAGAAATTTGAGTATTACAAGGAAAAGAAGAAGGGTTCGTTAGATGTCTCAAAAACACCGAATCGAAGTTGTTTATTTTATTCATGAAATTTACTTAATCCTTCGATATATTGGGTAGAAATCTATCTTTTATTTTATTTGACAAACTTTTCACACCAATTTAATATTATCTAACAAAATACTAACTTTTCGTCAGTCTCACCTTGATACTTTGACATGCATGCAACATAAGTCCAAGGTCAGTCTAAGATCGGTCGAGAGTCAGTTCAGGATCGACCCAAAGTCGATCTAGGATTGGCTCTAGATCTAGGATGGATCTGTTCTTAGATCGATCCTGCATTAATTCAGGATCGATCCAGGATCGATTCAGGATGGTTCCTAGGTCGGTCCTGACTAGGGATGGGCAAAAAGAATCGATGTTTAGAAAACATCGATGTTCGCTCATTGAGGATGGTATTACATGTAGAGAGTCGATTGACTGTCGGATAGAGAATTTCTAGAGACCCTAACATTTTCTTTACATATAATATTATTCTCAATGAGCGAACATCGATGTTTTCTAAACATCGATTCTTTTTGCCCATCTAGTCCTGCCCATCGATTCTTGCCCATCGATTCTTTTTGCCCACCTAGTCCTGACTAAATTTAGGATTGGCTCCAGGTCGGTTTAAGATCGGTCTGGGGGTCAGTTCAGAATTGGCTCAGGATCGATCCTCGATTCCGATGGATGACTGCTCGCACAGAATTCCGAACACTACTCTGTCGCATCTGCGTTCGACAGAGTGGCCGTTCGATCAACGGGGGGCTACCTGTCCTCCGCGCGAGCAAGCGATCCGAATCGAACGATCGGGACGATCCGCATGTCGCTATCGCACGAGCCAGTCCGTCCGGGATTACCGGCCGTTATCGATGAGCCCAATATAATATCTCGCTTCGTCGAGGGCAACTTACAGATGCCCCCCGCTGACGCGAGTCGAGATCAGGGTTGGACTAAAGTCCGGCTTAAGAGGACGTTTCTCGGCTACCGCGGTGGCGCAGGTCGTCTCTTGGAGAGAAAGAGAAAGAAATCGTCATGCGTCGTTTCACTTACCAGCGAGGAGACTCCGTGCGCTCCATGGACGTCGTCGGGGTCCTGCGTTTAGAGGTCCTCTTGGGGGGCTCCGTTGAAGTCGTCCTGCTCCTCTGTTGGCCGAACGACGAGCGACGGTGACTAGTCGAAATGATATGACTCGCCGCCGTTAACCCAACGCGCGGCGATCTTTTGTTCTTCGCGCGAACCGGCGCGGATTGAATCGCCGATCGCGAACCGCGATCTTCTTCTTCTCCTTCTTCTTCTTCCTCTTCTTCTTCTTCCTCCTCCTCATCCTCCTCCTCCTTTTCCTTCTCCTCCTCCCCCGCGGTTCCACGTGGCTCCGTCGTCGCGTGGGTATTACGGATAGGTATTCCTACAGATAGACATCCGTAAGAGCACGTATTGGATGTCCGAGGTGAGCGCGAGCGCGCGAAAGAGTCGCCATTGGGTGATTAATGTCTTCCAATGTAGTCTCATCGTCTTTTTCTTCTTCTTCTTCCTCCTTCTTCTCCTCCTCCACCTTGTCCTCCTCCTCGTACTCCTCATCCTCCTCCTCTTCCTTCTTCGCGGACCTCACGTATAGTCGGCTATTCACGTCACCGCGCATTCGTGTATCACGCATGCTCACGCACGAGCTGCGGAGTCACGTTGACGTCTCGACGTCTCACTGTCTCGCGCGGCGAACGCGGAAAAAAATAAATATCGCCTGATACTTTTTCGCGAGATCCTCTCTCTCTCTCTCTCTCTCTCTCTCCCCCTCTCTCTCTCTTATCTCTCGGGGCTTTTGTTCATCCCTGTCCGTGCCACTCCTTGCACCACACGTAGACACGTGTAATCGATCTGCTCGTTGGTGGCGTCGAGCTTTCATCGCGACGGAATTTCTTCAAGTTTCCTTCGCGTCCCTCTCTCTCTCTCTCTCTCTCTCTCTCTCTCTGATCGCGAATCGGAGGACGAAGAATCCAAACGGTTGACTCGAGTTCTACTCGAGCGCAATAACCGACGATAGCTCCGCACTCCGTCACCGGCTGGGAATCACTCGGCCTGAGGAGAGCAGGACTATCATTAATTTATCAATGTCCCGAAAGCGGGTTACTTCGCGCTTCGTGATCCCGTATACCAAATATACGCGTACGTGTATGTGGGTGCCGAGTCACGAGATGGGACTGCCTAGTGTCAGTGTTCCGGAGGACTGAGGAATTCGCCTCGTAAGGCACCGAAGCCAGCTGCGATCCTCGAACCGTTCCTTCTTCCCTCCTTCAGCCGAGTGCGAGCCGCGCGGTGCTTCTTTTCAGGCCGGCGGCGAGGAGGGAGCGAGAGAGGAGCGGTCTTTGAAATTAATAAATATTCACCCGACCCCGACCGGGGCCACTTTTACGCTCCTTCGACGCCGGGCCTCCTCTCCCCCCCCCCCCCCCCCCCCCCCCCCCCCCCCCCCCCCCCCCCCCCCCCCCCCCCCCCCCCCCCCCCCCCCCCCCCCCCCCCCCCCCCCCCCCCCCC